TCAGTGATTCATCAGTTAGCAGCGAAAATTTCAATGCATCCTGACATTTAGAGCATTTGGTTGTGATTAACAGCCTTTGAAATGTCACCGAATTTTATTTAATTGGCTAAGAAAAATTTTTAAAAGGTAATCACTGCAAAGATCATATTCATCGCCAAAAACGATAATTGCGGGTGTCACATGACAAGGTAGATGCTAACTACTGTAGCAAACTGGCTCTGTGTTCTTACAGAAACTAATGAATGCAGCAGAGATCAATAGCTGGAAGAGTCTTAGAAGTTTATTTGAATGCTCCTTTCAAAGTCCTTTGTGCAACAACTGCAAGCCTTTAAGTCACCCAAGCAAATACTGACACTGAAATGCAGGTAATTGCAAAACAGAATTAACTTCATCTAGTAACCCCTGAACCACTCTGAGCCCCGGTCACAATCACAATTTCAAGTGTGTGTGTGTGTGTGTGTGTGTGTGTGTGTGTGTGTGTGTGTGCGCGCGCGCGCGCATGTGTGAGGGAGAGAGACGGACACAAAGACAAACACACACAGAATGTGTGTCTGTGTAACTGAGAAATAACTCTTTGTTTCTATTGGCTTGCAAGGGCAGGCATCATGCACAGGAGAGAATTACATCACTTAAAGGTCATACTGATGAAGTGGAAAACAGCGAAAGAAAGCTTCACTTTCATGGGAGATTAACCAGCTCTGTGTTTTTCAAAAGCCTAGCAGCTAGAGACAGGATGGAAATGTTTCTCTCTCTGAGATAAATGTGCACTCAAAATATGGTGCCAACTGTCAACCAATCTCTTATCAGGGACATTTTGTAACATTTCTGGTCCTTCCATTTCTTGCTATCCAGAATTTACACTGGACCCATTAGGTTTTCTAACTGGCCAGACCCCAGAGGGTTTTTACAGGTGAAGGCAGAACAGAGATGTGTGGAAGATTTCCCTGGTTCACAAATACTTATGTGAATGAAGGAAAGAAATCCACCGTGTGTTGGTGATTTTTCTGGACCTGAGAGGTGCTGGGAGGTTAATAGACCCTGCTGGAGTATAAGACACATTATGCCTGAAGGTGTGCTTGGTGAGCTGTGACTTCTATAAGATTCTAACCCTGAGGTTCTGATATGATATAAAGAGTTCTTGAGTCAATAAGTTTGAGAACTGGTATAAATACATTTTTAAAAGGTCTGTTCCCTGGAGGACTTTGAAGACCTTGAATATGCACAGGTGTGTTGTGAGTCTCTGGGACAGGAGGATGGCATCTCCCCACCTCGACAACACCCGGGGTAGAGTATCCTGGCAGACCAGCATCGGCTGGGCATGCAGTGGGAAACACTGGCTTGGAAGTGTTTGGGAACAAAACTGGTAAGTGGACAGGGTGGGGAGAGAGAAGTTACCAGGGCAAGAGAAAGGAAAGAAGGGAAGATAAAGGGAAGTGGACATTCCCAAGGACGTGGGCAGGAAGTAAGACCAAAGCATCAAGAGCTCCGGCTGCCTCTAGAAGCCACAGGCAGCCTGGCAAGAGTTGAGGCTGCCCAGTGACTCCATGGTCATAGACATGACACTTCCCAGCCACCCCAGCCCTGCTGGAAGGGAGGCAGGTACTGCTTCATTGTGCTGAATCCTCAACCCTGGTCCACCAGGGCCAGCTTCATGGGTATATCATGTGCACAGGGCCCGCACTCGGGGCAACCCTCTGCTGTCACTCTCTTAAGATTCTTAATGCTTCTGAACATTTTCATTTTCATTTTTTCTGAGTATTTTTAATTTTTTAAAAATGTTTATTTATTTTTGAGAGAAAGACAGAGAGTGAGTGAGGGAGGGGCAGAGAGAGAGACACACACAGAACCTGAAGCAGGCTCCAGGCTCTGAGCTGTCAGCACAGAGCCAGACGCGGGCCTTGAACCCACAAACTGTGAGATCATGACCTGAGTCGAAGTCCAATGCTTAACTGACTGAGCCACCCAGATGCCCCTTTTCTGAGTATTTTCATTTTGCACTGGGCTTCACAAGTTATGGGTCTGTTCCTATCCCCATTTTACAGATGAGGATAATAAAGGTGAGGCAAAGCAGAGTTTTCTCAAGGCTTCACAGCAAGCTCTGACCAAGTCAGGCTTCTCAGCCCAACCTGCCTGACTCCAGAGGCCACAAACTTCACATGACAAGCATTCCCTAACTCTTGCTCCTTCACCACTTCTGCCAAAGAGCCAGAAAACAGAAATTCACAGCAGGACACATTTCCAAACAAGGGATTCACGAGTTTGGAGTGCCTCCCCCTGCTCTAGACACTAGGCTTTTGAGATAAAAAGAGAACCAATTTTATAATTGTGACAAATCCTTTCAATATGACTTTCTAGAAAGAGCCTGCCAAATATGCAGAGCTTGGCATCTCCAAGCCCTGAGACGGTACCTATCCAGGGTTCAAATCAGAATTTAAAGATGTAGCTTGGCCCCCTGCTCTGACCAGCTACGTTCGCAGATTATTAGTAAGCTGTGAAGAGGGCTGTGCTGTCCCAAACACTGAGCCTTACACAAATGTGAATTATCTGCAGTCAGCAGTCTCGTGCAGCCAGGTGGGAGGGAAGAGCCGAGGGCGATTATGTGGCACCTTCCCTCCTTATCTCTCCCTCCTCTGCAGTCCCAGCACAGGCTCAGGACCGAAATCTCAATGGCCTTCTGTGTGCCAGTGGATATTATTGGTAAAAGAAAGTCTAGAATTAGGGCTTGAGAGGCTAGTGTAGCTGAGTGAGAAAGATTCCAGTTTTTGAGCTGGGCACAACTGAGCACCAGGATGAGCTGTGTGATGTTGGATGGGTGATCCTATGCAAACCCACACCCGGGGCCCCACCGAGCGGCCTGAAGACTCGGTGCAGAGGGGCTTCTGGGCCCCTGGCTGGTCTCCCAGCTCCTGCAACAGCTTAATGTAACTGCTGCTCCGTTTAGGGCTTGTTTGCCCTCAGTTCCGCCCCGTGACTTTCCCTGCATTCCACACTTTCCCGGCTCCCCAAGAGTTTGGACAAGGCTCATCCAAAGGAGAACACTAGAAGATAAGCCAACGCTCTTTCTAAGCCATCTCTCCCTTTCTTCTGATCTGGGGGCCTGGGTGCTTTCTGGCAACAGCTGCACCTCTTCCAAGGTACCAGCTGCCACAGGACAGGCCTCCCCCTGTGACTCCGGCTTTTCCCAGGCAGCCCTCCATGGCCCCATTCCCATCTAGATGGCCACTAGGAGGAGGCTCCAATGGCGTCCCTTGCTCCTGTTTCCCCCCCTACCCTAGAGAGGAGCTGCTTCCTGCTGCTGCCCATCTGAGGATGGTTTCACTCTCTGGTTTCTGAGCTTTTCCATCCCCTATGCAACCAATTCCCTGAAGTAAATCCCTGCTGTTTGAAACACCTAGAGTGATTGCTATTTTTCTGCTTCTTAACATCTTAACCTACCTCCCTGGTCCAAGCCACCAGTTATGCATCACCCAGATAACTTAATGGCTCCCAGCTATTGTCTTTGTTTCTCAATACAGTAGCCAGAGAAATACTGCTAAAACTCAAGCAGGTCATGTCATTCTCTGCTCAGACTCCAGTGACTTTCCATCCCACACAGAGCAAGAGCCAAAGTCCACCTCCCCCCGCCAGAGTCTGGAGGGCTCCATGGGGTCTGGCCCCTGCTACCTCCATGATCTCATTCCCTTGCACTCTCTTTCTCCCCCGCTCTGCTCCTCACACTGGTCTCTTATGGTAACTATGCCAAGCATCACTGCCTTAGGTCTTTTGTACTCTGTCCTCTTGCTGGCAACTTCTGAAGTGACTGTTCCCTCACTTTCTTAAGGTGTCTACTCCAACCAAGGTCACCTAATCAGAGAGATCTTTCCTGACCTCACTGTATAAAGCAGCAAGTCCTTACTATGCTGGCACAATGGGGCTCTCCATAGGCACTTCATCTGTCTTTTCCCATTAGACCTGAGGTCAGCAAACTTCTTCTGCAAAGTGCACACAGTAAATATTTTAGGTTTTGCAGACCATATGGTCTCTATGGCTAATCAACTCTGTCACTGTAATGCAAAAATAGCCATAGAAGGTACATAGTCAGGTGAGCATGAATGCATTCCAATGAAACAATATTTACCAAAAGAAGATGCAGGCTGGATTTGGCTCACAGGCCATAATTACCCAACCTTTACACTAGTCCATTAAGGCAAACCCTTTGTGTAGTCTGTTCTCTGGTGCACTCCCAGTGTCTGATATTAAAAAACACACAACACATACTAGTTACATAAATGATACAGAACCTGCACTGATAAAGATTGCCATTATTTTCCTACTACTCTCCCAGAGTAATAAGAACACAAAAGTCACATGTTCTTCTAGCTTAACACAATTGGATTGGAGGGGCAGAACCCCCAGCCCAGCACTCCCCAAAGTTTTTCATGGAATGTTAACAGGTGCTACCTGAAAAACGGATTCTTGTTCCAAGAAGTGTGGGAAACGGTTCAGTGGCATTCTTTCCTGTAGTACCTACTGGAACTTTGATTATGTGACTGTGTATTAGGAATCTCCAAGGGGCTGGAAGAAAGGCAGGGACGGGACGGCACTCCCTAAGCATACTGCACAGAGAAAGTTTTTCTTCTGCTAACCATCCCCACAAGCAGGGATTCAGTATGAAACACAATGAGGGACGAGTCTACTTTATGAAGAAACTGAAAGTTTCTGAGGCAAAATCCGCACTGGAAGGTATTTAAGTGTTGGTGGTCCCAGAGCCAACAAGCATGGCAGGTGAGTGCCCTGATCAGAGAGCATTTCACACTCTGCTCAGCCTCACTGGCCGGACCTGGGTCCCCAGAGGACCCGAATAGCCAGCCTCACCCTCCCATCTGATACCTCTGGATGCCACTCAATGACAGCAGGAGCTAACTACTGTTAGCATTATTTGCTGGTCCACGATCGAACAATTTTAAAAAAATCCATCTATTCTCCTGGACAGAAGAGAGGCAAGTCAAAGAGGAGCTTACATCACTGAGAATGTTGAAGGCCTCATTCAGAGCTATATCCAGCATTCCAATTCCTTTGGCAAACAGCTTGTCCAGATGCTCCCTGAAGTGCTGAAACGACAAAGTAGAAAATTCATTAGCGTCCATATGGTTACGTGATGCCAACCTTGGGTGTACACCAGGACCAGTGCATCCCAGGCCCAAATGACCATAGTGTGTTCTTCTTCCCTTCAGAATTCAAAACATAAGAACTTATTCAATATAAAATTTACCTGCCATATGCATTTTTAGCTGTGATCACATTCTAGGGAAAGAATTCATTTAATTCTGGTGAAAAGTACTTAATTTATCTAAAATTCCTTCTTTCCTTTCCAGTTTCATCTCTCAAAACTTACTTTATCCTCTTCTACCCTCAATTTTTCCACTTCTGATCACTTCTGAGACTGTGTACATGCTCTCCTCACTGGGAATCCACTCTCCATCCATTTCCTGGCTCCCCTGTCACACCTGGTCCCATCGACTTTGGAGACCTCACCGCCTTCCTGCCTTGGAAAATTTCCTAGACCCCCCATCTCTGACAGTGACTTAGCATGCTTCCTTAGTGGTGGGGGGGCTGGGTGGCTCAGTTGGTTAAGCGTCTGACTTCGGCTCAGGTCATGATCTCATGGCTTGTGGGTTTGAGCCCCACATCAGGCTCTGTGCTAACAACTCAGAGCCTGGAGCCTGCTTCAGATTCTGTGTCTCCCTCTCTCTCTGTACCTCCCCCACTTGTACTCTTTCTCAAAAAATAAATAAACATTAAAAAAATTTAAAAAGAGAATGCTTCCTTAGCACCCCATGCTGCACCCCATGCTCAGATATACCTTTCACTTAGCACTCCGGGTATGTAACTGCCTAGTTAGATTCTGCCCCCACTCGAGACAATGATGTTCTGAGACCAGGCATGTCTTGTGGCCTACTCTATCTCCCATGAAGACCACATATCTGATACACAAAAGGTACTCAAACCATCTCTAAAGAGCAAGGATAAAGACTGGGTCATGAGGTAAGAATTGTGATTACGGCAAGAGAGACACAGGCTAGAAATCAGAAGAGATTCAAGGAATTCACAAAAAGGGACCAAGCCTCTTCAGAAACATCCCTAAGGCCCATCTGGCTATGTTGGATCGACAGAAACCCAGCATCAGCTGGAGAGGAAAGGGGGCAGAAGGAAGCAAGCCTGGAGCCCATTATGTTTCTGCTTCTCAACAAAGAGGCAAGAGTAGGTCCAGGCACGTGCTCAGGGCCACGTGAGCTTGTGGCATGTCCACTGACCCAAAGCCCGTGTCCACAGTACCATAGCTGCCTGGCATTATTTCCCAGTTGGCCTATTCCAAAACCACTTCTGTTCTACCGAAATGAATTGGGCTCTCCCCAAAGGCATCCACACCCTCGTCTGCTAAAGAAACTGGATGGAAGAGTCACCCGGGAGGGAGAGGGGCAGGAAGGGTGTGCTCACGGAAAATGTTTGCTGGTGATTTCCTGGCTGAGGAATGGCTTTCTTTCTCTTCCATGCCCTGGGACCCTTCAATGCCCCAAGAATTCCATCAGCATTCAGATACTGACACCAGCTCATGATGTGTCTGCCCGAGAACCCAAAAACTGATCACAGAATAAGAATAGATCATAGAGACGGATCTTAGGACATGCTGATGGTCTAAGATGCTATTCTCCCTAGGCCCCCACAGGAAGCATCAGGGGCCACTGGTCATGGGGGTGGCTACAGATTTGCTGGAAAACTGGACTGGGAAGTTTTGGTGGGATCCTCACGATGGTTCAGCTTTAATGGCACCCAGACCTAACACAAATCAAGGCTGGATTTGAAGTTGGCTGCTCACCCTAGATATATTCACATAACCCATAAGACCCCCTCCCAGGTCCATTCTTTCCTCACAGCAATCATACTCTCATGCTCACCAGAGCATGGAGTCATGGAAATCTGCTTCATAATAGGTCCTTAGCAAATAACATGTAACTGCATCCTCACAACAACCCTGTAAGTTTCCATCAACCCACTTTGCAGATGGGAAGAGTGAGGCTCAGCACTGTACCCAAATTCACACACCTCCTAGCTGCCTGGCCCAGGTTCTACCCAGGTCTGCTTCACCCATTCTAATGCCTCCTTCTCTCTGCTATACATTTGCTACTTTTATATATATATACACATATGTATACATATGTATATATGCCAGGTACTGGCCATGAGCTCTTAATCTCTACACCTGCACTACAGGTGAGTCTACAGGTAACCATCAAGTGGCTTGGGTGTTGGGGGAGAGGAATGCTGAGGGCCATGGACCCAGACAAACCACAGGGCCAGGAACCAAGACTTGTGCTTCTCTGTTCTTCCTGCTGGATGCCCAACGCCCAGCAGGATGCCAAGCACATGGCATGTCCTTCACAAGCACTGACTGTACAAATCCAGACAATTAACTGAATCTGAGGAAGCCCAGGTGTCCCTGGCTACAGGTGAGCAGGAAGGGATCAAAACAGATCAGTCTGCCTTCTCCAAGAATGGCTGCCTATGGAAACCTGACTCGTAGGCGACTAATGTCCACCAGGAACGACTTAGGCTCAGCAGGCATCACCTCAGGGTGGTCCCCACACACCCTACAGGATGCAGAGCATCATGACACATGCCCATCACGCAGCTTGTAGAGAGGCTGGGCTTTAACCTGCCCTGGGTTCACATTGCTGTGGCTAGACCTTGCCTTCACAAGTTCATTCTATTCATCTGATGTCATTTCTGTCAACTGCATTTCATTGTGCTCGGACACACAAGTTTACGCAGCATTGTTGTTTTTTTTAATAACAGAGCAACCCCATTTAATTTTTCTTTAATCCATGTGCAACTGAATGTCATGTGCAGGAAGATTGCTTCAGACAATGGTTGCTTTTATTGTCAGACACTTAGGAGTAAAATGCAATAACATGTCACGGAATTCCCCTCAACCCAACTTTATAACAAGGTCCGTTCTGATTTTCTTTCTTTTTGGTACAAATCTAGTCCTTATATTACATGGAAAAAACACGTCCCCAGGTTAAGGGTTTCCAAACGACATCACAGATGAAGGACACTCCCTTTGTGTCTTTCCCTCTCATGTCCCTCATGTCTGGACTCTGTTTTCTCCTGTTGTATACCTGGACCAAATCTGCTTCATCATCCTGGTCTTCCAATCTTCATTTAATCCTTGGCCCACCTGTCATTCTATACAAAACTGAGGCCTTGCCTTCCAGGGAACTATCTCCAGTGATGTGGCTCCACTAAGAGCTACTATGGCAGTCAAGAGCTATAGGTAGCCATCTACATTAAATTTAAATAAAATTACCTAGGGGCGCCTGGGTGGCGCAGTCGGTTAAGCGTCCAACTTCAGCCAGGTCACGATCTCGTGGTCCGTGAGTTCGAGCCCCGCGTCAGGCTCTGGGCTGATGGCTCAGAGCCTGGAGCCTGTTTCCGATTCTGTGTCTCCCTCTCTCTCTGCCCCTCCCCCGTTCATGCTCTGTCTCTCTCTGTCCCAAAAATAAATAAACGTTGAAAAAAAAAATTAAATAAAATTACCTAAAAATAAAAACTCAGTTGCTTGGGGTACCTAGGTGGCTCAGACGGTTAAGTGTCTGACTCTTGATTTTAGCTCACGTCATGATCTCACCATTGTAAGATCAAGTCCTGTGGTGGGGCTCCTCACTGAGCATGGAGCCTGCTTAAGATCCCTTCTCTCCTTCTGCCCCTCCCCTGCTCTCTCTCTCTCCCCCCCATAAAAACAAACAAACAAACAAACAAACAAACGAACGAACAAACAAAACTCCATTGCTCAGTCCCACCAGTCTCATTTCAAGTGCTCAACAGCCCCATGTGGCTAGTGGCTACTGCATTGGATAGTGATGATCAAAGAACATTTCCATCATTGCATAAAGTTCTACTGGACAGCACTCATCTGGAGACATTTGGGCAAGACTGGTCCTTTCTCCTCACCAAGCCACTGATCAAGAATGAGTCAGAGGAAACTAAGGCTTATACCCACTGGATATGGGTGGTTTTTGCCTGTTCAACATCCATTCCCCTTCTTCCGATTTTCCTTCTCCACTAGTGCCTCATATCATTTGGGTGAGGTTAACATCTCTCTTCCTCCTTTCCAGATCAAAGGGTAAACCCATTTATCAGGCTTGACCAATTTGTGAATTCCATCCTGAATTCCATGAGGCACCATCAGGCATGGGCATATGACCCAATCCCTGGGCCTCTACTGAAATGTGGGGAAGAAAACTCTCTCCACTGAGACTACTGAGAGGTAGGGAAGAAGGCTGGGCTGCCAGCAGCCATCAAGCCTCTGGGGAGGAAGAGCTCACCTGAATAAAGGTAAAGCCAATGAGAAAAGAGCCCATAATGGAGGAAACAAGGCAGAATCATGTGGCTTGGGTTCCTAGAACCAGGCATGCCTAGCTTTTTCAGGTAAGTGAGCCAATAAATTTGGTTCTTTGCCTGACCAGATCTAGCTGGATTTGGGCCGCTTAACTGAAAGGAAAGGACCTTAATGACCACAACCATCACAATGACTCTGGCTGGGACAATGCTTCCAAAGCCCTGCCCTTGGATTACAATGATCCCCTTCATTTCCTGTCCCCAGCCTCCCGTTTTTAAACGTTTTATTTTTATTTTTGGGACAGAGAGAGACAGAGCATGAACGGGGGAGGGGCAGAGAGAGAGGGAGACACAGAATCGGAAACAGGCTCCAGGCTCTGAGCCATCAGCCCAGAGCCTGACGCGGGGCTCGAACTCACGGACCGCGAGATCGTGACCTGGCTGAAGTCGGACGCTTAACCGACTGCGCCACCCAGGCGCCCCCAGCCTCCCGTTTTTAATCACTGGCATTACACTACACGATTTACCTATGTCCTGTGAGTACTCCTGCCAGACAGAGTCAGGCACTTCATAGCGCTCTCCTGGTGCATGTGGATTTAATGGCCACTGCTTTCACTACTCAAAACCTGGAGGAATTTGCTAAGGAGGAATCCTACCCACGTGCACTCCAAGGGCAGTGTCTGGTAGGGAAGGAAGGGGCCTGGCCGACTGC